CAAGCTATTGCTCTTTGATGCCCCTTCATGTGTGTTACAGGCCTGCTGCATCTGTTGAGCTGTGCCGTAAACAAGATCATAAATGATGTGGACTAAGAGCACCCCAGCAATACCAGTCGTTAGCGTCGGACACTCGGCTAGTTAGTGTTCAACTGTCTCCGGCACCTGTCTACAGTGACGTCGGCTCTGGTCACGAAGCGGATGTAATCGATTCAGGTGGCTACGGGTAGGACAACGCTTAGTCCTCTTTTGTGTTATGAGGTTTTAGGGGCTGTGTTTAAGTTCCACCACAGATCGCCCTTTCGGTTTTGTTTTGTCATGTTCCTGTAAAGTTTTTGGGTCGTTGGACCATTCTTACAATTCGTTAACAACTTTTCTAAGAGGTTCTTTAGCTAGGCTATTTTGACCAATAGCCGGTTAGGTTGTAGTTGGGCTAATCCTTGCCCCGTTAGATAGTCAGCTCTGCTGAAGGATCACTGTGCCTCCATGTGACTTTATGTCTCGTATTAGCTCCAAAATTGCATTGGTAATTATTATTTCCAAAGAGCACATACTCACAGCTTCAAGAGCACACTTTTTGAGTCGCTGAACACTACGATGGGTGGAAGTGTTTTAGTTTTGCCATTTTGGTGCGAACTTGTTTCAAGGCCATTAGGATAGCTTCGATTTCTGCATCAAAATCAGTGCTATTGATTCTACTTGGCCCCGAAATTTCCTCAGGTAGAGGTACCCCCTTTGGGTACTGTATGAGTTTTCAAGTATTTCTCCATAATTATTTTGAAAAGAAATTATCTTCTAGTGTCTTCCATGGATTTTAGTTCTACACAATGGTTAATCCTACTTTTCATGAAATTCTACCTTTTTTTTTTTAATCTGCAGTAAAATTTTTGAAAATTTTCAAAAAGTGTTAGGTCTACTCATGCAAATTGTAATTATGTATATTAATTTATTTTCATTTTAGTAGCTCAGAGAAGTGCAAATGTTTAAAAGCTCCAGATTAACTCCTGCCTCGGCTCTGCTTCACATCCCTGCAACACTCTTCATATTTTCTTAAGACTAACATTCTTTTCTAAATAATGAAAAAAAAATACAATGATTTGCTTAATTGTATTATTTGCTAAATTTAACCAAAAATATGGGTTTAGAGTCCAAAGGGGTTTTGACTGAAATGAAATAAGATCCAACCGGTAAATAAAACAGCTTAAACAGAAGTATTTAAAGCTATAATTTTTTTAACGCATGGCAAAGTCCATATTTTTTATCATCAGTTTCAGATTGAAACCCTGAACTGTTTTGTTTATTAAAACATATCTTTCACATTTTTACCATATGTATCCTGATAAAGCTGCTCCCGTGTTTGACTTAGGGATGACAATATTCTATTACACAAAAATCCAAAAGTTACGAAATAATTTAAGATTTAAATGACACAAGATTTATTTTAAGCCTTTGTTTTACATAATGATTAAACATATTATCTAATATTCAAATGTAAATTATACATCCACATCATGGTCCATCCAATGCGCCGCAAAAAGCTTGACAACAAAAACACAGCAAAATAACAAGATAAAAACGTATCACAGGAAACGCAGCAATTCGACCCTATCGTACTTTATAATTGATATCGTTATTTGATTATTTGTATAATAATCACACAACTCATCATGGGTTAATTGCTTTATGTTATCATCTGTAAACGATATATATACATAGTGATATAATTGTTTGGTCTGCAGGAAAAAAAATTAAAACTGATTTTTAAGAAAATGTATATATAGCTTGTCACACATCGCTATAACATAGATTTTTGAACTTGATATAAAACTAGATGTAACCCGCCAAACATTGGCGACAGCAGTGCGTGCACTTCCCATCTACTAAAGTTACTTAAAAAACGTGAACTCAAGTTACGCACATTTAAGTATGCCAATTTTGCTACACCCCTTCCCCCCCCTTTTCATGATACCCAACCCGCAGCAAAGGGGGGGGGGGGGGTAGCTCCACCACAGTGCGCATGTCTCGAGACCAACGATGGGAAGGCAAGGCAAAGGGAAGAGTGTGCCTGCGTCGTCGTCTTCCTTGCTCTGGCGTATCTATATATGGCCTGCGTGGTCTTGTTGTTTGACCTATTTTTCGCTGGCAAATTATATATATAGATGTGTGGCGCGAAAAAGAAAAGGGACATCTTGTAAGTTTTCTAACATTTATGTTTGTTTGCAACCTTAACTTATTAATAAAAAAAAGAAACATTTCTTTCACTATTATTTCATAATCAAATACAAATTCAATATTGACCTTCTCGATTCTCAACAATTTCATTTAACGGCAGCGCCACTGGCCACTGTGGTCAACGCTCCAGTTTACAAACCACTATTTGGATCCACATGTCTGGTTCGATGAAGGTTACATTCTTCCGATGAAAATGTTAATCGTGTTTCTTGCCGCATGTGAAGGAGACCGAACTGTGTCGGTGTCAAGTTGTGACGATTACATCTGGCTCGAATATCTGGAGACAACTCTCCTGCTGGGACGTGTTTACAATAATACTCCTGGTTCACTTTTCTACCAAGCTCCACAAACACTAAGCTTGTTTTGCCCATTCGAGAACACCCGACAGAAACCATGATATCATGGACTGAAGTTTTAATGCAGCTGGATTTTTATTTTTTTATTTCAGATTTAACAGATTAAGCAAGAGTAGACGTCTTTCCGTCTGTAAACCCCATGCTTTCTGTCGATTGGAAACCTATCAAGTAAATGTTGAATTTTTTTTTTTCTGGCTTTTTAATTTGAAGAATTTTTTATAACCTGCTCTAAACACGCGTTTCTACTTTTGTAGTTGCAGATCTTACTTTAAATTATAGTTTACCGTTCTTATTCCTCTGGCATTTTCTCTTTCCCTTTCTCGTTGATTTGGTGACTGTAAAGATAATCATTCTGGTTACAAATGAGCTCTTACGTACGTTGAAAGTTTTGCACTGTCAGACTTCGGTTGATCGCTTCCTTATTTTCTTGTAGTCGTGCTATCGGCATAATTTTATTTGACAAAGTCGATTATTTTGGAAACTCAATAAGTGGTCGCATAGTTGCCCAGTTATCAGTCACAAAGCTGACCAGTTATCAGTTACATAGTTCCCCAGTTATCTGTCATATAGATGACACTTAGCAAACGCATAGCTCCCTAGTTATCCGTCACATAGCTCCCCATTGTTTTTCTATTCGCAATTTTTAAATCAAAATACGATAACCTGCTGTTATTTTTTTCATGTAACCAAAACAGAAAACACAAAACTTTTCACATGCAGATAACTACAAGTTAAGGAATAAAAGGACAGCTTACATTCAGTCAGACCCGTTCTTAGGTATACGCTGACTACATATCCGCGTAGGGCCCCGAACGTGAGGGGGCCCCCGTAGGGCCGCTTAACACCTATGGGATATGGCAATGATGCACACACAAACAAATTATTGATAGCCTGGGCGATCTCCTTCCTCAAAATAAGGAAATAAGTGCCACCAGAGCCATTCTTAGGCATATAGGCAAACTAGGCAACCGCCTAGGGCCCCACTACCACCTGCATGTCCATATATTTCAGAAGTACACATTTTCTCTAGTGTCGGAATTATCAATATGGTTAGTGGTTACACGCGAGCAAAGAGGAAACATTGATGAAGCCAGAATGGAGGTGCCGCAGTGGTGGGTGCTGTTTTCTCCTTAGTTCTAGGGAGCCCACCCCCGGACCCCCCCCCCTTCCGTCCGGGGCTCCCAACCTAAGCTCCATGCTTAAGGCCACCAAACTCCTAAGAACGGCTCTGATTCAGTTAGAAAGTAAGTATAATTTACATTTTAAAAATAGAGACACAAAAAAATCCACAATATTTAAAAAGTCAGTCCCACATTTTTTTGCACCACCCTTTGTGTATATTTATAAAATCTTAAATGTGTAAAAAATATTTTTTTTTTACAGTTTTGAGTTTTTGTTCTATTTTTATATTTGATTCTGTAATCTTTGGCTGTGATGTTTTAGAAGAAAATCTTTGAAATCATTCGTCAATATGGTTGTCAGAGTGTACCTTGTATCTGTTGTTCCCTAAATTAAAAATAAAATTCTTTGTGGCATGACTCAGAAAATAAAAGAAAATAAATATTTATAAAATAAAATGAATAAATATAAAATATAATACATTTAATAATCATAGTAATTAGTTAGTTTTCTTTGTCAAACATTCTTTTTTGAAAACTGCAATAATTTTTTTTAAAAGTCTACCGTAGCTATAAAAATAATCATGATGTTTGATGAATTAGTCATTTAATATTTTTTTTTTTTAAATAAAATAGAATTTTATAAAATACAAACCCCCCCCCCCCCAATTTTAAAAAAAAATTAAATTTTAAAGGGTTGCATGTCACACTGTGACAACCAGCCCCACGAAATTTAAAACAAGCAACTGCACTGTAAATAATTATTTACTTTATTTTACTTCAAAACATACTTCTTAAAGTAAAAAACTTCTTTAATTTAAATCTTAAATAAATAATCTAACTATTATATAGGCATGGCGATTATCAACTACAAGTTAAAGTTTAATAAAGAAAAAATTTAATTAATATGCATTGTACTTAATATGGTCAAAATCATTACAATCTCAAAAATTAATCTCACATATAAACGATGTAATTTGGAAGAAGCTCAGCCTGTACTCTTTGAAAGCCGTTCCTTGGCTTCTTGGAACTTTTTGTTTTTCTTTTCAAACATCTTGACTTCAGCGTCATATTCAATTTTCTTTTCAAAGACCAGGTTTTTTAGAAAATCTGCGCCGAAACCCAAAGAAAAAACTGTTCCTACCGGGTAAGCTACTTTTGCGAAAATCAGTTTTATATTTGCGATAATCACAGGAGATTTGCTCGGAGGATTTCTTACTATTCTCAGATCTTTTTTCATTTGCTTTTGAATCTCACTTCGTTTTTGTTTGTCCGTTTCTTTCTTTAGCTCATGAATTTTATCAGTAATTAACGTTATCTGGACTTTCAGCGCATTCAACTCAGGGGAATCCGGTAAGTCATTAATGGCATTAAGAAGCTGTGTGACACGATGCTTCATGTCGTCAAAGGAGAATGCACCTGATTTAATATTTTTCTGAAGCATGGCTTCCAGCAAACTGATTTTTTCTTGAATACGTTTATGTAACACAGGCATCTTGATCTTCTCCATGATGATGTTCCTTGTTTCAATAGCGACGTCGAAATTGTGACTTCTATAACGTCTGAGAATTTGAGTCCTTATTATGCCAATTAGTTCAGCCACACAACTTTTCCTTTCTTCTTCATACGCTTCTCCTTTGTTGTAAAATAGAACACAGCGCCCTCTACATTCAGCCAGAAGTTGTCCAAACTTATCTTTGTAGTTTTCTACTCTGCACCAATCTGAGAAACTTAGATTTTTATTTTTTAATTTAAAACTGTCGCCGTGTGTCATTATAATAATACCAAAATCTTGTAAAATTGTGGGTCCCAAATATTTTTTCAGTATCTTTATACACTCCTCTTCCTCTCCTATGAATGTGTTTCCATATCGTACTACAACAATAACTGCGTTAAAGCCATTTGGACACAAGCTCATTGCTTGACCAATAACTGACAGTGCATCGTCGTCATCAGTGTCCATGAGTCCAGTTGTGTCTACTACATTTATGATTGAACTTGTTATCTCAGACTCGGAACATTCGAGTGATGCCAATTTTGTCACAGACGATGATCTGTCAGATGTTGGAAAAACGTCACGAGACAAAATAGTATTTCCGGTAGAACTTTTTCCATTGCCAGTTTTTCCCAGCAGCACTATGTTTATATCATTGTCGCCACTGTCTTGCCTTGCTAAAGAATAGCACGCCATGGCTAAAGATTGTAAAATTATATAAGATGTTATCTTAAAAGTAGAAACATTTCTTTTATAGTCATAATTTATATATGCAATATTAAATATACATATCATGCTCTTCAAAATGATACGTTGTATCTATTTTTAAATCAATCATTCCTAAAATTCATCTATCGTGAAATTATGAACCGACTTTTCAACCATTCATTTAACAATAAACTCATCATCTCGCTACCAACCTAGCTACCCATCCATACCCCTATACACCAATCGTTCCATCCATGCTCTAAAATACTCCATCCATCGAGCCACCTCTCTCCCACTGAACTAACTTAACAACAACTACCTATCTAGCATTCTATCTAACATTTTATCTATCATTGCACAAATACACCCATCCTGTTATAATTTTGTCAATCGATCCAATCGACAACCCATCGACCTATCTACCAATCCAACTTTGCTTTCCTGCAAATGCTTCTGACAGACGGAGATTTTATCAAAACTAATTTAATTACATGAAATGGTTTATAAATATTTCTATTACCTTGCAAGGTGAACCTTTATTTACAATTTATTTTGAAAAGTGCTTTTTTTTAAAGCAAAATGTCAAGTTATTGGAAAATCATTTTTAAACTTACATTTACTTAATATCAACCATGCATTTAGTATTTTAACACATAATATATTCCGTACCTTTATTTTCAATCGCATATTTAGAAGAACTAAGACACAAATATGAAAATGTGTGAATTGTAAAATATTAAAGACTTGCTTTGGAACTTTTTAATTAATCTTAAATACATTTTTACAATAAATTTAATTAGATCTAAAATTCATTTTCAAATTCAAAACTTCCCTCGATTTATTTTAATTTCATAGTTACATTTTAAAGCTGTCCCATTTCATATGTACCCCGTTACCGAAATTCTTAGACTGTATTGCATAATTCAATGGTAACGATTCCATTCTAGTCAGTTTTTCGTCTCCTTCTTCTTTGTATCTACAAGCTAATTACTTTTTGCCTCACGTTAGTTTTTTTTATTTTTTCTATTTTTTGTTGTTGAAACTTTCATGGGGAATAATGCATGTCATTATTTTAAGTAATGTTCAAATCATTGGGATAGCATTTACCTAAATCACTTGCCTCTTTTTATTTCAATCGCTCGATACATTCCTAATTAAGGTCTGGTTAACCTTGTCACATGTCTCGATGATTGAGTTCTTAGTGTAATTATTTTTTGTAACACTTCAGTCTAAACGCAATATCACCAAAATTAAGGAGTCAAATGCTTTAAAAAAATTTACTTACCTGACCTTGAGCCAAGTTTGCATCAGGTTTGTTCTAATATTTATTAAATAAAATAATTACCTGTTTAGACCCATTTAGATAAACTATTTCACCTACGTGTAATGACACTTTCATTCATCAGCAGTTTCGTAATATGTGCTCATATTTTTTTTTAAAATACCCTTTACTCTCTTCTAATCTCCGTGTTTTTTCTCCTTCTCTCCCCCCTCTCTATTGCTATGTTTCTTAGTGAACCTATCTAACTCTCTCAGTTTTTTTCCTTTATTTCTCACGCCCTATTCCCATTCTCTCGGTATTTCTCACTCTTTCCTTCTCTCCATAATTTCTGTTTTTCTCTCTCTCTCTCTTCCAATACTTTCTGTATTTCCAATTCATTGGTATTTGTTTTTTCTAACTCTCTCAAATTATCTTTCTCTCTGACTCATCTAAAGTTCTTTCTTTGCATATTTGTATTCTGTTATCTCCGTGTACTCCTGCGTAATTTAAAAATAAGAAAGAGTTACAAACCATCAAATAGTTCAGTAATCCAAAGTACTGTTATGAATAGTGTCCAAAATGATTTAGGAATCCAAAATAATTCAATAATCAACAGTTACTAAAACAAAGTGATAAAACCATGATAAGTTGCTTATCATTAGCAATATACCAGCTATTACAGCCTTCAAAACTGCACTCAAAACATATATCTTTAAATTTTACTATCCTGCCTGATTCCCACCTCACCCCCTTTTACTGATCGATAAACGATGCTGCTGGGTAGCCGTCCATGGCCAGACATGTAAATAGTTCTGGAATGTGTGGAGTGAATGCATATTTGTTTTGTTCTATTTAAATAATGTATGTTAATTTGTTGATGATCAAGTTAGTTGAATTGTATGTACAGCATGATGAGCCCAGCCATAAGATGGTGTACCAGGCTATATAAAACCACCACTAATAATAATAATATGCATACAGCGTTGTATTGGTGACTTGGTGTTTTTCTGAAAATTATTATGATAATTTCTGAAATCATGAGGAGAGTCCAATGCATTGCACAACTACATGTTTATTCATAATACATCAAAGTTTACAATTTCAAATAAATCTTCGCGTTGAATAATTATCAGGATCTTATACTCTTCACGTATTACATATACTACAATCACATGGAAGATAGCTAGACCAATGTTATGAGATATTTCTTTACAAGCGCAAGACTTACATGAATCCAACCTGACCATTAGAATATATTTCTTTCACTCTCTTTCTTTTCTAACTCCCCGTCCTTATGCCTATGAAATATTTAAATAAAACTTAATGCTAATCTATGAAACATTTCACTATTTTAATTTTTGAGCTGTTACACTTATTATTAATGAAAATCCCACCTAATTATTGTTTAATCCCCCTGGATCATATTTTCAAGTAAAAAAATATTAATCCTTTTAAAAAGTGCCTACCTTTATCCTCGCACGTATCTTGACAGACAGTTTCAAAGAATATCTTCTCTACTAATTTACCCTTTACAAATTTATTGATATTTGAGCTATAGTTTTACTAAATGTGCCAACAATATTTGACGCCCATGAACTGTATACTCCGACATTGATATAGGACGCTTTTGAAATCTTAAAACCTATCTTTCGCGACCTAGATGTCATCAGATTTAAAGATATAGTCATCCACATAAAAATGTACACACCTTCTTTCCTCCCCACTGACATGCATTTTTGGAAGAAACATATTATTTTATTCGTGTTAAAACCAGCTGTACACTCATTTCCGGTGTATAACAAATTTGGTCTAACATGATCTTTCATAAAACGCGCCCACTTCACTGTTGTGCATCTTTTGATGCATGAGGCAAAATCTAAGGCGAAAAAATTCCCCCGCACACATATAATTTAAACATTAATAAAAGTAAAAGGATTCATTTTTAAAAAAATAAATTATGAGCTATTTAGCGATAAAAGTTTACTTACAATAATTTTACTTTTGAAATGAGGACAGAAAGATGTAATTTTTTTTTTTCTTTTCCCAAGTCTACGATATTACTATCGTGCTCTCCCCCTCCCGACCCCCACCCCCAGTGGTTACCAAATTTAACTTATCTCTAATTAAGTCATTATAATCACTAAAGAAGTTCATTGACGGCTAATTTCTACTTTTACTGTCAAACTTTTTCTATTTTTATTTGATCGAATAAAAGGATAAATTATAAAACATTGATCAATAATCAATTTACGTTATTCGGGTGTAACATAATTATGTTATTTGCACCAAAATCTGGAAAGAAATTAACGTTTTCGATCAATGGAAAAAAAATCACATTTTTGGATCTCCAACATTAAAATATAATATTTATGTTGGAATAACAATTTTTTTTTTATAAATTACTTAGTTTGCGGCACCATTAGAATATAAATATTCAGTCATTTACTCACTTTCAGATATTTTTATAATTGTCACAGATCTAACACTCAGATATTAATTTTGATTCGTGGAATAGTGGGTTGTTTTGTAAAATAGAAAAAAACAGGAAGTGGGGGAATAATGGGATCTTTAAGGAAGTTTAACGGTCAAGGCGGTTGGCAAGGATTCATATATATATTTGGCGCTGGCCATGTTTATTCTAGTTATTGATCAAAATCTTAATATTGATTTGTGAAATGTACCGAAGAAGTTATAAATGTGATACCTATACTTATTGCGAGCTTTAGTGACATTATTTCATGTGATGTGCCGTATTCAAGTATTAAATATATATAGTGATGCAAAAATGTATTCGTGTCTTACTATTAACCATTGATGGACGACTGTGATGCAGGACAAGTAATACACGTCAATCACGTTTTGACCTCTATCACAAGAAGGTTAAAATTATATTTAAAGGTTGGTTAAAGAAACAGGAGAAAGAAGAGCAAGCAAAACCATTTGCCAAACTTCTTCAAGAACGCAACAACAAATGCGTGCAGTTTTAGAATTCTTGAAAAAAGCTTCAAGAAGCTCAGATACGCACTCATAAAACGGACACTTTTGAGTGAACAAAAGCTTGGAGAGAAAATGTCATCACAACTCTGGGAAATCCAATCCTATACTTAACAGTGCAGGAACAACTGAGCTTACTGATTGAGCAAATTTACCGTGACATACAAAAGAAAAATTTATTATATCAAGAAACGCTGACGAAGCTGGATACACTAGACAAAGAAGTTGATAGTGATGCAGATGACTTAAAGCTGTTAAAGGATATCCTAAATTTTAAAAATAAAGTAGAGACTTTTAAAACACATGCAACTTCTGTTCTTTTCTAGGGCTTTTCAAGAGCTTCATGCCAACAACAACAAAATGTTCACTTAAATAGCAAGTAAAGGCAAAGAAAGATTTTTTGAATACGTTTACAAATAAAATGTTTTTCTTATTTGATAGATTCTTAGTTCTTAGTTACTGGAAATAAAGTTATTTAAGGACTATTAATATAGGAGAGGCCACTCCTTAAGAAAGTTACTTTATACAATCTATAATTTTTAAAAATTCACAAGAGGCATTTGTCGGAACATGCATTAGCAGCTATGTCTAGCCACGTTTCAAACTATTGACTGAATTTAAATTATGTGTCCTCTTTTTATGTCCTCTTTTACAGTTTGGAAATTAATCTGCCAAATTAAGCAAAAATTAAAGTAATTTTATTATTTTAAAAACAAACAAATAAACAAAAAGGTAAACAGCCTAAATCAAAACTAATTAGAATATTTATAACTTTACGGAATGCAATTAGAAAGTTATTTAATTCGCTAAATATATACTAGAATATTTGATCCGATGAGGCCGGGATAATACTGGCAGGCAATTTGTGATATTTTAACTTGCTATTGCGAAAACTCATCAGAATTACCTTTTTAAAGAAAGAAGTATCTATGTAATGATGTTTACGTTTCTAGTATCATTTAGTTTTTTAAAAATATGTATTTCCTATATAATATCCGCCTATCCTACCCATTTTACGATCCTAATCTACATTTTTGTCCTTTTAAAATTTGTAAAACTTGACCATAAAATAACAACAACAAAAATATACCATGCAAAATATATTTGTATATTAATAGTATTCGTTAATTGATACTTCACTAAATATTTCAACAAAATCTTGCCTTGTGTTTATACTGCTACAGAAAAAAAAGTATAGCAAAGATTGCTTTTATTTTAAGAAGAAACTCTCAACAGTTATTAAGGTCTGTTAAAGCTCTGAGTGTTTTTTAACACATACATTTTTAATGTTATAAAAATATACACCCACTTTACTTTAAAAATATAACATAAAAATATACACCCACTCACCCACTTTACTTTTTGCAAAATGTAAACAAAAATATTTATTCATTTCTTAAAAGAAAGTCTTTTGCCCTTTTTTTTACTTGTCTTCAATTCATATCTATACTTTTGTATTGATATTCTTTTAACACGCCCTTCATAATCCTACCGGGACCAAACTCCCAACGAGGAACAGGAGAAAGAGTAAACTGGAACCCACCAGGATCAAAAAACCACCGGGCTCGGGATTATAACAGGATCGGAATCACACCGGGAAATGAGATTACATCAGGATTATGATACAACCAGGATCGAGATCACACCTAAAACGATATACTGATGGATCCGGAACTACCCGGAATCGGAATAGCAACGGGATCGGGAAACAGATAACGGGATACCTTCGGGAAACGGAATATTGGAATCCCTTTGGAATCGGGGACCGAAATGTTTACAAAATTTATTTTAAATGTGTTTTATTGTAAACAAATTAATCTTTTAGTTTTTCTACTAAAAGAGTGTTTTTTTATTAATTTTTTAAAACTTTGCACTTGATTTCAATGTTAATTAAAAGTATGTAGAAATATTTTTTCGAATGCAATCCATTTTAACGCCAGGTATATTGGCTAACAGCTATATAGTTTGGACCAGTTTATTTAAAATAGCTTTGTTAATTATAATATAGCTTTATTTTGAGTGTTGATAATATGTTGATGTAACCATTGTTGAAATTTCATTGTAGAATAATCTTCACCAAGACGAACAGACTGAGACTACTCCTGCTGCTTTACAATTATTGGTAAATTAATGGTGACATTATTTTATTCAAACGTACATTTTTTGTTAGTTTTGAATTTCACCAACGCTAGACATAAATACTTAGATTAATTGTACTGTTTTTATCAAAATATTTCGTGAGTTTAAACCACTATTAATAATTAAAAGATGAAATGCATCTTGTATGTACAAATAAATGACACAAAACAAATTTAAATAATTTCCCTGTTGCTATGTATTAAAAGATTTATCTAACACAAAAAAGTACCAATGAAATCCTGAAAGATCCTCATAAGAATAATTAATGAAGTGTAGAACTGCTGCCAAATGGTTCAAATAGAGTTAGAAAGTAAAAGTTAAAAAAATTAACATTTCAAATTAAATTGTTGTCGTTGCTATTTTAACATGTCTTATCTACTTCATAACGATTGTTTTGCTTTTGGTGTTTGGAAAAATTCACTCTCTGAGGCACACATACACATCAAGTCAGGCGTAGGCATCACATTATATCAAATTGTTAAAACATAAAATCAGAATGTTAATTTCATTTAGAAAGCGTCCACTGAGAGATCCTTGAGATACATAATTGAAAAATATTTAAAGTGAACAAAATGTAGTCATCATTTTCAAATGACATTTTTTCAAATCACATTTGCAACATTTAGGTTATTTGAAGTATCTATAAACAATACATTTCATACACTAGTATAAGATTATATTAAATATAAAAGAAAAAAATATATTTAATAATGCGTAAGTTAAAAAGAACTTGCTAATACTTCATAGATAATGTATGCCTGTGTACAACTCAAAAACGCGATCATCTGAATTTATAAAGGATAGATAGTGTATATATTATTAAGGATAAAAACAAATCATAGTAGGAAACATTTATATAAGGTATATAAAATTTGTAAAAAAAATTATAATAGAAAGCAACTTTTCTTTGTATTTTTTTCACGTTCTGAAGATATTAATTGCTTGAATTCTTCTTTACAAGTTTCATATAATTCTTCTCTATGGTTAACAAATTCCTTTAAAGCATTGTGAGCCGCACCAAAAGTTAAAATAGTGCCAATTGGTTTCAAAATTTTTGCAAAAATCAAGAAAGCTTTTTGAATAAAAATCTTATATCTGGTCGGAGTGTCTTTTACAGCTTCAAGGCTGTCATACATCTGCCTTTGTTCTGCCCTTTGTGTCATTTTATTTTCCGAATATCTAATGTCTTCTACTCTACGTAGAATACAATCCAGACGTTCTTTCAAGATCAGGAATTCAGTTTTATCTTCCAATTCTATGCCCACTTTCTCTAATTCTTTATTAAGAGCACTTATTTTTTTCTTCATGTCTTCATATGAGAAAGTGTTGTTTCGCATGTCTTTGTCAAGCTGGTCCATTAGCAAGCTTATTTTCTCTTGTATTGCAGTGTGTAACACGGGTATTTCAAGCGTTGTTACCAAATCCTCTCTCGCTTTACTGGCCAATTCTAAATGAACACTTGTGTAAATTGTAGGTATTTGTTTAACAAGGTCAAAAAGCTCGTTCACGCAACATTTTCTTTTATCATTAAATTCGTCTCCAACATTGTAGAACAGGACACATCTGTTGTTGCACTCCTTCAGCAGCTCGGCCATTGGTTTATTCTCTTGTTTGCTTTCGTTTTCAAACAACCATTCTTTAAATGACTTATTTCCATCTTCATAATTGATGTCAAAACTATCGCCTTCAGTCATAATAACAATACCGAATTCTTTAAGGAAATTCGATCCAAAATATTCTTTTAATATATCTATAGTCCTTTTTTCCTCTGCGGTGTATCTTATCCCATATTTTATAACAAAAAGAAGTGCATTAAATCCATTAGGACACAAACTCATTCCTTCCATGATTTCTGAAATTGTGCATTCCTCTTGGTTCTCCGTGTCCATAACACCAGGTGTGTCAACAACCCTGACAACAGTACCATCTTCTCTAACTGAACAATTCAAAGTAGCTGTTATTGTCTCGGAAGCCAAATTGCTTGATTTCGCGAATGCTTCCCAGCCAAGCAAAGAATTTCCTGTAAAACTTTTACCATGTCCAGTTTTTCCAAGTAAAAGAAGACTGATTTCTTTTCCTTCAGAGACTGGTAATGAGGAAGCCATTTCTAAGGGTAAAAAGAAATGCATCAGTGTCCACTTATAAGTTTTGTAATTTAATGGAAATTGCTATCTCTGTATTACGCTTTGCTTGAAATAAATTTATCTCTCGTTGATATTTAATTTGAGAAAAATAATATTTAAATATTTATGTTTCCAAAAGACAAAAATGTGTTTTGAAAATACCATCACAAAAAAGCATAAATAACTACTAATTATTGTTTTAATTTGATAAATAATTGTTTCATCTAACTAGTTTTTTAAATTACATACTGTTAAATTAAGTATCGTTGATAATTTATTTCTTAACCCTAGAGTCTAAGTAGGACTCGTTATTATAACATTTGAAAAATTTACTTTAAAATATCGTGTCATATTTAAATGTTTAAAAATATTATATTTTTTTCAAAATAATAAAATTGCTAATAATTGATTGAGTGACATTTTTTATTGTTGTAAAAAAGTGATAATTTAAAAAAAAATTATTTGATGTTTAGAAAGTCATTGTAAATGAAAATATATAAGAATGAGCTTGGTTGACCATATTTTGCTAAAGCAGCGGTTCTAAACCTGTGGGTCGCGACTCCTTTGGGGGTCGCACGACCTTTTCACAAGGGTCGCCTGAGACCATCTGAAACACACTCTCTACAGTTATAAAATATCGAAGAAAATAATTTTGTTTCTGGAGGTCGCCACAAAATGAGGAAATGTATTAAAGGGTCGCATCATTTGGAAGGTTGAGAAATACAATAACAAATTTTAATAAATTTGTTCGGGTTCTTAAAATTTGATGATTAGTTTCTATTATTTTAATGAAATGGAATACATTTAAATGGGCAAAAAATAAAATATATCAGGTTTTATTTTAGTATATGTTTAAACTAAGGAACTACCTTAAGCATTTCATATGCTTTTGAAAGTTATGAAGAAAAAAAAAGGAATTAAAAAAATTATGATGAAAGAATTACACAGTGATCACATTAATCGGGAAAAGTCAAATATCAGTTTTTTTAGTGGATTTTTTTAGTGCGTTGTTATATTGCGAAAACAAAATTAATTTGTTTTTATTAATCACGCAAATAACTCTATAGCGCGAATCGCATACTTTAGCCAAAACTCTAAGTTTCTATGATTTAATAACCGCGCGTTTTAATGTAATTTCCCCCTTTTTACAGTACAGTTAACAAATATAATTAATTGCTTTTTAAATTGTTAATAAAACACACACAGATTTTAGCTTTGTGTTTTTAACATTTACTTTTAATTCTTACTTTTTACTTTTTTTTAAATTCCACAAATATTCTTTTATTAAATGTATAATGTCATAAAAACATACCTTTCAATATACTTCTAATAAGAAAATACCGTTTAAGTTAATCAGTGCTGCAAAATTCCATAGCCAAATAGAATTCACTAATCCACTTATAACTCATCAAAATAAGACAAACCATATGAAATGCAAAATATATTTGTTTGGGTATATAAGGGACCAAAATCCGGTGGAAGATTTTATTAATTTTATTTAAATCTGGGGAGGGGGGGTGGTTATTTTACCCCAGGGAGCACAACATACGTTTTAAAATACAAAAACCAATTTGATAAATAATTAACCTTCTTGTGTACATACATTTCTTAGGTAGGTAATAGGATGTGTACATTTGTACGTGAATGACAATATATTAAATCCTCTGGTAATAAATTTGTAAAAAAAATAGATGTTACATTCCCCTTTTAGAAGTAAACAAATGTTTACTAATCAATGGCGTGATCAAAAAGTGGGTACATTTATATAAGCATACCCATGAATATCAACACCCAAACATTTTACACACTTGAAAATTTAATTTTGAAAAATGAGTTGGGTTAATACTTTCTTTCAAAAAATAAAAATATATTTTTGTTTTTACTTTGCGTAAAGTAAAGTGTGTGTGTATTTTTATAAGATTAATGATATAAAAAAAGACACTTAGGTCTGTTATAGACGTGAAAAACGGATGGTTGCGAGATTATTTTTTAGATATAATTCTTTGTGTCATGATTTTCTGATAATTTATAATTATAAAACATAAATATATGAAATATTCTTTTAATATAAAATAACTTATATCATATATTGGGTTTTCGTTGTAAAATTAAGATTATGTTTTCACAAGTTTTTAGAGAAAAAAAGTTGTAGCTCAAGGGCACGAAAAATGGTAAATCTAAAGTATTCCTCTAGTGTCGAAATCGTCGCTCAATTAAATTCTTTATTGAAATAAGTTATATAATTAGGGATAATTTATATTGAGTAATTTAAGGTCATGTTAAGGGGGAAAATGAATAAGGGGCGTGAAAAAGTGCAGGGTAGGCGTATATATAAACTTAAAAAATGCTTCTAAAAACTTAATGATGGTAGAAACGTAAATATCATTATTAAGACACTTTTTTAAAAGTTAGGAATAGTGATGATTTTTCGCAATAGCAGCTAGAAATTATCGCAAAGGACGTACCTTTATTATCCGGATAACATAAAGTCATATAATCTACTATAAAAGAATGAGCTAGACAAACCGTATATGGCTAACGCAACAATTTTAAGTAAATACGTTTGGGTTCTTAAAAAATGATAGGGGTTTACTATTATTTTACGGAAATCGAATACATTTAACGGCGAAAAAAAAATATATCAGTTTTTATTTTAGTATATGTTTAATTATTATTAAAATAAATTACAAATACATTTGAAGTTACGATTAAATGACAATTTTAAGCTATTTATCAGAATTTGAAAGAGATGATCATTTTTAAAATCCATAACTCATGATCTAAGACTTGTTTTATTCAATCATAATCACATTTATCCCGAAAAACAAACATCTGTTTATTTTAGTGAGTTTTTAATGAGTTGTTATATTGCGAGGTTAAATTAAAATTTATTGGAACTAACTGTTTTCAAACGAAATCAAATTAAAATTTCCATTTAAAATCAAAGAAAGTAAAATTATATTAAATTTATAAGTGCAAAATTTAAACGTGAAAATAAAAACATTTAAGTTTCTTTGTTTTAATAACCGCGTGACTAAACAGATATTGTATTTTCCCTTTTAAAAATTAAAATTTAAATATATAACTGATTGCTTTTTAATTGTTAATACATACACCAAATTTTAACTTTGAAGTTTTAACGTTTAATACGTTTTTACTAATTTTTTCATTTCAAAAATATCTTTATCAAATTTATTATGTATACAAAATTTAACGTTAAAAATACTTTTAATTAGAAACTGTCGTTTAAGCCATTTAGTGCAGAGAAAAACTTTATAGCCAAATAGCCCTCAATAATTCACTAATCACTCATCCAAATAAGAAGAAATCCGTATTAAGTTGCAATTCCTTCATTTTGATATCAATATCTCAAAACCCAATAATTAGAGCGATTTAAAGTTAAGAATAGTCTTTAATGTGAAAATAATTAACCATAATATTTCAATATACAGAATAATGCGAAGATTTGTATTTCGTCTTTTCGAAAATATGAAACAATGTGTGGTAACGGGATTGGAACTTTAGAATTTTAATTAAGTTTTTGGGCGTGCAAAAGATATGCTGCTGCGTACGAAGGGGGTACACTCCGATGTATGATTTTAATTTTTTTTTTTTTTTAGAGGCAGCACAAGTTACGCCTCAGAATGAATTGAATAGCTTGTATCGGGTTAGGGAATAAAGTGTGCTCATTTTTACATGAATTACAATATATTTAGATTCAATGATATTCCAATTGTAACACAAAAAAGAGATGTTACATTTTCTTTTTACAATTTAATATAGGTTTACCAAAAGAATTAGGATGCGGCTCTTCGGACGCGGTATCAGAAGTCAGTGAGAGTTTAGGTTTATTGAAAAAGAAAATATTAAAAATAACATTGTAGGGTTTGTACTACAAAATTTGGCATTGAATAAAAGATACTCGAATGTACTATATGTTTAATAAACTGAAGAATTAAGTTTACAAACATATAGATCATTCCATTATCTTTCATCCGATACCAAAGTTTATCGTACAAATACAACAATAATATTTTAAACATCGAATACTGTTAATATAAAATAAATTTAGCTTTGTATATAGTTTTAGTTATTTTAAGGTCGTGTTTTAACACTTTTAGAGAGAAAAATTATAGTTTAGGAGCGTAAAATGGGTAGGATAGGCGGATATTAGACAGAAGATACATACTTTTCAAAAACTAATTGAAACTAGAAACGTAAACATCATAAAATACACACTTTTTTTTTTTCAAAAGAATTATAATGAGTTTTCGCAAAAGCAAGTTGAAATATCACAAATTGCCTGCCAGTATTATCCCGTGCTCATCGGGTCAAATATTCTAGTATATATTCAGCAAATTAAATAACTTTCTAATTGCATCCCGTTATATTATAAATATTCTAATTGGCATTGATATGCTGTTTATTTAATCTGTTGTTTTTTTTTTAAAATAAAATTACTTTACTTTTTGCTGAATTAGACAGATTAATTTCCAAACTGTAAAACGAGGACACATAATTTAATGTCAATCAATTCTTTGAAACGTGGTTAGACATAGTTGCTAGTGCATTTTCCATAAAAAGCAGCATTATTGCCGACAAATACTTCTAAGTAACTTTCTTAAGAAGGAGTGGCCCTCTGTACGCACAAAAGTACAATACCAATGCTAAGGCAGAAATATATGTTCTAAAACCTAAAAAGTGTATGCTTGTGGTATATATATTGGATTTCCCAGAGTTGTTTGACAGTTTCTCTCCTAGCTTTTGCTAATTCAAAATGTTTCGTTTTAAAAAGAGGGCATATCTGAGCTTCTATAAGCTTTAAAGGCTTAGCAAAACACTCTTTTCTTTTTAAATCATACTGTCTTCCAGAATTGTAAAACAACACACATCTGTTGTTGCATTCTTGAAGCAGTTTGGGAAATGGCTTTGCTTGCACTTCTTTGTCCGGTTTCTTTAACCAATCTTTAAAAGTAATTTTATTCTTCTCTTTATTGAGGTAAAAACTTTCACCTTGAGTCATGACAACAACAACGAAACCTTTTAGGAATTCGGATCCAAAGTAAGTTTAAAAGCATACAAACTATATTTGTTTTCTCTTTTGTGCATATACATTCGAATTTTATGACCAAAATCAGTGCGTTAAATCCTTCGGGACACCCACTCATTGCCTCACACATTTTTGCGAGTGTTTGGTCATTTGATTTCTCAGTGTTTATTACACCAGGTGTGTCAACAACCCTGACACGCGTGCCATCTTCTCTATCTGAACAATGTAATGTGACCGTTCTTGTTTTTGACGGGGTCCATCTGATTTTGTGAATGCTGGTCGCCTTAAAATATAATTTTCTGTAGCACTTTTATCATGTCCAATTTGCCAAGTAAAAGTAGACTGATCTCTTTGCATTCAGCGGCTGAAGATGAAGAAGCCATCACTATTGGAAAAATGTGTACCATAATAAGATTGTATATAAAAACGTCTAAAAGTGAGTAAATGACTGAATATTTATAATCACATGGTGCTTTAATCAAAGGGTGTTTTAACACTAATGAAATAATGTATTTTACATTCTTCCAAAAATACATGTCAGTGGGAAAGACAGTAGATGTGTAAATTTTTATTTGGATGCCTATATCTTCAAATCAGATGGTTTATATGTAGAGAAAGAGACGTTTTAGGATTTCAATTACGTTTTCTCAAAAACTAGGCTTCACTTTCTTCCTTCTACTCCTTGTTGCCAGAGATCTGGCAGCGCTTCTTACACAGATGAGCAACATTTGGCTTGAGTGAGGAAGCAACTGAGTCCCTCAGTATGTTGAAGATGCTTCCCGGTTAGTTTGATCCAGAACTTTGGCTTGTTAAAGTTTACAGTGGAGAAGAGATTTAGACACAAAAAGATACACCAAAAAAGGGGCATGATCCAAATTATCCGCTTGAACAACATTGAAATCTCAGAGAAAGTTGAGGGCAATGCTCTCATAAATTGTCTATGCTTGTCTTGGTTTTCCATGCAACTTGGAATTTTACTGAAGATCAATCAGCTCCATTTAAAGCGCAAAAAGTTAGTGGGGGGGGGGGGCATCTTTCACATTTAAGTAGAAAGGGTCAGTAAAAGTTTGAAAAATGTCGCTGTGTGTTTTGAAGTCTAAAAGCATGTGATCAAGTTCTTCCTGCAGCTTTGCAATGGCATCAGTATACTTACTACTGAATGTTGTGGCCGAGACCATGAATACTTTGCATGTTGGTAAATGGCAGATGTTTTTCTACGAACCATAACGCAATTTTATGTAGAATGTCCTGACATTGTCATATGCAACACTAACAAGCTACCTTTGCTCTTGTAAATTCTTGTTGATTACATTCAGCTCTTGTTTAATGTCAACAAGAAAAGCCAAATCTATTAGCCTACCTTCTGCTACCTCCGGATGATTTGAGTTTGAGATCCCTGGTCTATAGTGTTTTGAATTAGAATTCTTTAGTTTAACGAGACGGACCTAGATAGAGATGCAATGTGTAACACCTTTCTAGAGGAGCCTCTAGGAAAGACTTTAAATAAACCGCTCGACCTAGGGAAATTGGGCTAGCGAGATTGATTCATATTACGATACGAGACAAAGAGAGAGACATTGTTTTTTCTATTACGATTTGTGGTAAATGTCAAGTCATAGCACCGCGGTTTTTTTATATTTCGACAAAATTTAAATTTCAAGTGCAAGGAAAAGGTGTAGGTAACTTTGTAAATTGGTGAAAATGTGACGTCTTTCAGTTCGGGGCATGGGGGAAAAAGTGAGTACCTTTTAAAGTGACCACCAATTTCTTCCGAATTAAAACATGATTTTAAAAAATTAAAAATTTGTTTTAAAAAAGGAAAAAAAAAATGTATGACAATTGAAAAATTATTAATTTAAGGGCATCGAAAAGGGTCTGTACATTATCCGGTTTACGTCTCCTAGAAAAGAAATAAAGTCTTTCATTTTTACATATTTGCTCAATTAATTCGTTTTCGGTCAAATCTTTTTAGATAAGTTTGATATAATATTTTTTTGACTGTTCTCATGCAGGATTCAATGAAGCAATTCCTATAGTTAAAGTATTATACATTTTTCCCTGTGAACAATACATGTGTATTTGTAAACAAATGTATAACTTACCGTTCAGCTTAGTGCGATAATACAGCGTACTGCTACAATAGCTAACAAGCCCTTTCAAGAGACGACCACACGTAGTTATAAAAGACAATCTTCTAAAACAAAGACTTAAAAAATAAGGTCGTATAATGTGATTGCGTTACAGTTTACTCAGACAGTAGGCCGTTATGTTAACTGATAAGATTTTTCAATAATCACCACATCACGGTGAAGTTATCTTTAAAGCATCATGAACTGTCATAAAAGATAGTTAATAATTTGTTTCTTCTTCATGATAACCCGAAATATCTAATGTACAAAAAAAAGGGAGAATCCCGAACAAGTAAACAAGGTTTTTGATATAAACCTTTTAACATGCATTTTAACATAACTCTAAAATTCCACTTTTTTATTTACATTGTTGAGAAATAGGGCTGAGACAGGTATTGAAGGGATACATGGAAATTCTACATATTAAAACATCCGGCACATACCCGGACCAGGCAAAAACCAGAAACCGGTCTTCTCATTTTCTATATTGCATTACACCCATGGGTTGAAAAACAGAAACAGTACATATATTTTACAAAATTTGTGTGCATTTTACCCTAATTAAAAACATTATAATAAACTAGAAATTTATGGGACATTAATGTAACGACAAGGCTCTGAAAATAACAATGTACTTACTGCTAATTTTGTGTCATTATTTATCTTGAAAAGATGCATATCTTTGGTTTTGGCCAGGGAACTATCCATTTATAATTATTTTATTTCATGCGCTGTCTGGCTGATGATACTGGGTAGCCAAAGCGTGTGGATCATTTTTGAGTTCTTTCATAGAATTCAATGATAGTAATGAAAAGGAACAAGTGCAAGTTTCTCACTGAATTAGTCATCTCATTCTGTACCTTAAAAGTAATAAATAATAAATGAAGAAATAAATAGCTAAACTATATTAGAAAAATCTTTAATTTTGTACTTCAATTTCAGTTCTCCAGTACATGTTTTGAAATTTACTTTCTACGTTTTCTTCAAAAATTCATTGTGAAACCTATTCATTTCTTAAGCCTTTTCCTTCTTCATAAAACATAACGTTTAGTTTTTATTCAGTGAGCAATTATATTTTTAATATTAAAATGTATGTGTACATATTGCACAGGGGGCGTAGGAATTTTAGATAGCACAAAAAAAAAGCTTGTGAAACACTGGTCTAGGTGCGACTTGCTTGAATTAAACAACCCCACCCCATGAAAAAACATTTTTTTCGTATAAATCCTTTAAATGCATTTTTATTACTTTCCTTTTTATTCATATTCTAATGTCTCACCCGCTCTTACATTGCAGATTTATTTCATCAACTATTTCAGAGAAACAAGAGAAAAGTTTACGCGCCAATAAGTGGCAACATATTTATTTCATCTTCTCCTTGAAAAAAAACAAGTAAAAACAATTTGATGCTTGGAGGTTTGGAGGTGGTGCTGAAATTTAGAGAGAATGTGTTGTGATTGGCATCGAGTGTATGTGCCAATTTTCAGCCCAATAGGTTGACGGAAATTGGATCAATTAGCCCTCCAACGATTTGCCACAGAACCATCCAGAAAGGAAGAAACACGATTAAATGCAAAGTTAGTATAAAGGTTGGTTTTTTTTTAAAGACTTTAGAAAACCGTGTTATTCAACTAAATTCTCAATCTTTTTAATTCCTAACAAACAAACACACAAAGAAGGCGCGTTTTTTTATTCATGGTTTCGACTCTTGATATTAATCTGCAGTTATTTTGATGCAAATTTGTTTCTTTGGGGGTAGACCATCGCAGAAGGCCACCCATATGCCGCCGAAAATAAACTCCTTTTGATCCAGTGCAACAAATGTAACAAAAGATAAATGTCTTACACATTTTAAATTAGTTTCAAATGACATATAAGTGGAGAACTTTGACATTTTCAGAACTAATCACCTGTTTTCTTTTAAGTTAATAATCTCAATTGTTTAACAAAGACTTCCTGACACAAGATAAAATTGCGCTATCCCGCACTTGAACTGTGATGAGCGCACGTAACTGGGTGGTGGTACAACCATGCGATAGTGTAACTTTGAAAACAGTGTTGTTTTGTTTTGTATTTTTAACGCCTTGCTTTATGCGCCCAAATCTGTCTTAAATGTAGTTAAAGAAGATGTCCTCTTTAGATGGCATCGGACCTCCTCTGGGGTGTGACAAAGAAATTTCCTAAAACCAGGAAATAGTGGAACAATACATGTTTAAGCTTGGAATGAAAATACAGTTCAATTAAAAGACAAGACACCTTCTTTTCATCAAACGAAACAAAGCAAGAATACGGATATTAAGAAACCAAAGACATGTGTCAAAACTCCTCAATGAAGTCAAAGTAGCTTTTTACAGCAAGAAACAACAGATTTTCATGTTTTTCATTTTGTCCCATTTATATTTTATTTCTTGTTGCGTAACGATTTTTACCTTCATATCAATGGAATTATTATTCCACTTTAAATGAACTGCGGTCGCGCAGACGTTCTTTTGCTTCTTCTAAAATTATCAATCCTCTTGGCTGTACTCATTTTGAGTAGATCTGTGTTTCTGTTTTTTAAGCGGTATATTTTTTAATATTTGCTGCAGCATCGCCTAAGTCATATCTTTATGATTTCCTGGTATACTGCTGATATAGTTATATGTTAGTGTTGAAATATTTACATCTATAAAACATAGCCACTGAAGCATAGAAGTTTTAGTTTTCTTGTCATCTCTTTGATAATTGAGGTTAAATGTTAGATCTACAGTTTCCCTTTACTCTATCAATGTCAGATCCCTCAATATTCACTATGATATGAAGATGTATGCAACGTTGAATTTTACTGACAGTGTACAAACACTTGACACATTTAGTCTAGTGCAGTGGTTCTCAACCTGTGGGTCACGAACCCTTTTTAAATTCTTTATGCTGTCTAGCACTTACATGCATGCAAGTTAAAATCAAGAAATTTAAAGATGTTTTAAATTTTTTTACTGATTGGAACTTAAATAAAAAATTCCAAAATCATTTTACTCATTTTTCAAGTATTTCAAAAATATTTTAGAAATTTTTAGACACGTAAAGAAAAATACAACATGTACGAGACTTTTAAAATTCTAATGATTTCAGCCTATATATTATCAAGTATTATTTTTATTTTCCTTTATTTAACAAGTAGATTACTTGATATAAATTATTTAAACTAATATTTATTTTTATTTAATTAAGATTTGTGTACTGATGAAGGCTTTGGTTGAAATGTCTAAAAGGCTTATTTTGTCTTTTAATTATAAGTACACAATATATCGTCTCGATTGTGTGTTATTTAATGCACTTGTAACTTTGATTGCAGTGCAACCCTTTTATAATTATATAATTAAACCTTACTATGTGACTGTCAAGAAAATGACTTGTGTTGATTATTTGATAAATTATTGTTTTTAACATTTAAAAAAATTTAATTAAATGAAATCTTAATATATAATTGATATGTAATTAAACGTACCAGATTCTTATGTATACTGTCATTACGAAAAGCGGAAAATTTTATAGAAATTATTAAGTTTAAAAAAGCGCACCTTTGTGAGAGTGGATATATTTAAATACCTTTTATTGTCAGGTAAATGCGAAAATATTTGGTAGATTTCTTTCTTAAATGTGGGGATTTGTATTATACAACAACCATTGTTTTTTTTCAGACAAGTTACTCGAGTTGGAAGGGGGGGGCGTTTCAGATGTTTGGGTGGGCGCCGCCAGTAGCATTGGGAAGAGTGAGGGTGGTTTCTGCCAAGGAGTCTTTTTTTTTTGTATGAGTTGTGGCATTTTCGGAACACTCGGGAGATTATATCGTGTAACGGAGCGCATTTTGGAGCATACCTCAATTTGGTGATCTATTAGTAAATTTGAGTAGCGCGGGGGCAAAAAAAAGGGGGGGGGGTAATTTTTAAACGACGGGGTGAAATGTGATAGGAGCAGCTATCAGCAAGCAAACTCAATTTTTAACGGTTGTGGCGTACTCGAGGGGTAATAGTTTTGCTCAAGCATAGATACAACCCAGTACTAATGATTGACATAAGAAAATGTGGGAAGCGGAAATCGAACGTGTCAAAGACTCCATAATAAAATAGGGACAGGATCTTGGGATTGGGCTAAATGACAACCCTTGCCTCCAAAAATATTTAATAAATAAAAAATGCAAGAATATATTTTAGCACATACCTGAATTTTATTTTGCATCATTCTATTCATAATCGGAGAGCAACGGAATAGATGATAGTTAAAATTGAGGTGTCAATTAACCTCTGAAGCATCACGAGGGCCTTTCAACCCCTTCGACTGTAGTGGGCCTTGGATAGTGTAGGGGCTTAAAATTGTAATATGGAAATTGTTCAAAGAATGCAAAGATGTTAGGAGCTAAAACTAAAAGTGGAAGGGAGCCTAAAAATGTCAAAAGACGGATCTTCTTGTCCTGTTTGTGTTATACAAATACGCATTTTTCTAGTTTATTACTACGTAGTGGTTTTTTTGTTGTTTTTTTTTTTTTTTTTTTTTTTACAAAACTTTATTCCACCTATTTTTTTTTAGTTTCTTAAAAATAAATACATTTTAGATTAAAAAAACAGCGCTTAAAAAAGTTTTTTTGTTGTTTTTTTTTTTTTGGTTTCTTTTACAAAACTTTATTCCACCTATTTTTATTTAGCTACTTAAAAATCAATGCATTTTGGATTAAAAAAACAGCGCTTAAAAATGTTTTCCATCTCAAAGAGTAATTCTAACATCAATTTACAGGTAAACGCAAATGAAAAAAAAAAAACAACGTATAATTAAACAACTTCTAAAAACGAATTTTGTTTGTGTATAAATCCATTCCTTATATATATTTTTAATTATAATATTTTTTTTATTATTCGTATGTGCCACCCGTTTTTGTTTTTTTTGCTGGAGATTTATTTCACCAACCATTTCAGAGAAAAAAAGAAAATAGTATGCACCAAACGCACTTGAGATATTTTTTCAAAAAAAAAAATAATCTCATTTAGCGCAGTTGGGAATTTTATTTGGTGAAATCAGTGTCATCATATTTCCCTTATATTCCCATTGAAGAAACATGAAAATTGATTTTTTTTGGGGGGGTAGGGTTTAAAAGTTGATATAATGTGTTGTAACCGGCAACGAGCATGTGTGGTAAGCTATTGGTCCATAAATTGACGGGAAGTGGGTCCATAAGCTTTATTAGAGTTTAAAAAAAAATAATTATTTTTCAAGGAATGGCTCTATATTTTAATGGGTTTTAAAAACTGGTAATTTTTATATAGCAGTATAAGAATCAATAATGATGGTAAGAGGACTTGAAATATTTACAAAAGACATAATTATTTTTTAAATTGATTTTTTATTTTAACTGAGTGAAATCCTTTATATACCAAGATAAGTTACCCAAAATTCAGTTGATAGAAATGTTTATTTGAAATTTAAAGTTAATATAAACTTTCTTCAGATTAAATCTTCGATATACCTTTAACACATTTTTTGTTCAACAAAATAAAAAAAAAATTTTTTAGACGATTTCTAAGAAAGAAATTTGTCCGAACGAACAATAAAAAAACTTGAATTGTAATGATAATCGACATAGATGTTCACAAAATCTGTGGGGATTGTTTTCGTTCTCTTTTTTAGCTTTAGAGTAGATAATCATTTTTTATGTTGTTGTTGTTGTAAATGTAAAAATGCATACAGATTGCTTGTTATTCTGATATTAATTCTCAAAAGACTGCAGATTGCTCAGGTTTTTCTATAACCTTTAATACATCTTATTATTCAATGTGTCTCACAGCAGTATTTTTGTCGCCACCTACAATTATTATAAATCATTTTAAAGGTATTTTGATGATTTTAATTGATATTTGTTTTTGTTTAAAATATGTAAGCTAAAATATTATTTTTAAGCAAAAAATATATAATATATATATTTATATAATATATATATATATATATATATATATATATATAATTTTTAAATCAACACAAACATAACATCACATTTTTATAAAAGAGGATTTTTTTTTCAAATTATATCAATAAAATTGATTGTTTGTTAGAATGTATTCAGTACTAAAATACATATTCAAATTTCAAAAGAATAGACCTATAAATTAAAAGGTTATGATTATTTGTAGACAACATATCATTCAAGGAAGTTTTTCCCCCTTAATGTCAAACATATTTTTATAAGATAAGTTATTATTTTTTTCAAAGGAAAACCTATACTACAGAGAAAATCATTTGGAAATTAAATTTACATTATATAGGCTAAATATTAAAATTCTTACAAAAGTCTAATCTTGTTAGAGGCCTACAGTATTCGATTATAAATATCGTACGAGCCCCTTCTCATTACAAGCTGAAGTTATATTTCCTATTGTTAAAAATGTTGGTATTTTTTAATTTATTTTTTGCATCCCTATTTATTTAAAGACTTGTAAAAACACCGTATTAAACTAACTTAACATTGATAAATCTAAACTTTTATTGTAGTTTTTGCTAAGTATCAAACATGTTTAGCATGTTTTCAAATTTTATTTCATGATAAAAACATCACTTTTAAAGTATGGATAGATGTTAATATAAAATTGTGTGATGGGTCTCAAGCTTAGAAAAAAGTTTTTTAAAAAAAACAATTAGTGCGTAATGCACAACCATAATTGTATAAATCGTAGGAATTTGACACAACATGGAAGTAATATAGTTATTAGCACAATTTTACATGAGCTCAATAAAATAACAACTTAAAGAAATTCGGTTGTTTTGCAAAAAAATATGAACTTAATTAATTGTTATTAAATAGAATGCGCTTGAATTTTTTATGTACGTTAACGTTATACTTTTTAAAGAATTTTAATATTTAGCATAAGAATGTACATTTTAAGTGTAGTCTTCTATTACACTTGATGGGTCCGTCATACACTTCTTTGTGAGTTGATGGGTATGTCATACACTTCTATGTGAGTTGATGGGTATGTCATATACTTCTATGTGAGTTGAAAAGTCTATCATACACTTCATAATGCTGATCAACACAATGGTGGATTTTGGACTCTGTGTTTCCAATTTTCCTGACTTTAACATGGGTTCCCGATTTTTTAGTAATGACTCTCCACCTTGGCAAATCAACAGATATTATATTTGTTTTTAAGTATTTAAATATGTCCTATACTAAGTGATTAAATTAAATTATACCTTATAGTCCCGACCCTAATGGGGTTTCTGAATCAAACTAATTGTTTTAAAACTAGGGTCCTCTAGCGATGTAACAAAAATATTACTTTGAATATTCATATTAAGCAGAGGGTCACCAAACTACGGCCCACCGACCGGATCGGGACGTTACATCAGTTCATCGGGCTCGCCGACGTTAATTGAATTGCTTGATAAAACGTATGGAACACCAGACGTTCTGATACAATTTAATATTATTATTAAGGATACTAGTAGATTTTCACGCACGCGGAGACCTGCTGGCTGCTATGCACCTTAGATTTACCATTTTAAATTATAGTATCGTCTCAAAATAGCAGTCTACGGCAACTTAATAGTAAAGAAATAAACCTACAATGTATACAATGAATAACATAACTACTCGTATCGCAGTGCTAGTGGTATCGGGTTGCGCTGGCGTCAAAAAAGTTAACTGCTAAAAGCAGATGACCGACGTTTTATTGCAATCTGCGGTCACTTTTTATTTTTACAGACGCGTATGTTCAATAGAGATTGATTTATTTTGAGTGGACGTACAGATCACATTATCACAGGTAAAAGTAAAGTTGTTGTTGAAATTTAACGTGGCTCAAACTCCAAGTCAGAAGAGCGTAAACAAAATTCATATATTTCAATAAGAATTAATTAACAAATCATGAAATCCTTTAAAAAACCTACCAAGTACATTAACGTCGTTTTTTGTTGTTTTTGTTTAGAAAAGCTGGTTTCAAAAATTAGAAAATAAGAATCACTATCCATTAAGCCTATCCAACTAATATATTGTCGTCTGTTAACTACCACAAACTGTGAATGGGTAAAAGGAAAAGGAAAGTTGGAAACATACGGGGGCATTAAATATCGTATTCACCAAAGTTGGAATAATCAGCCTTTCAGTTTTGCGGAGAACAGAAGAACTTAGACTTAGACATCATAGTGTTACAGAAACGTGAGAAACTTAGGAACTTGTGGTATTCTCTGGCGCTGGATGAGCCAACTGAGCTCTCGAGTACGTCAGAAATTCTCGTGCTTATTTGTGGTGTAAATTGGGATTTTCAAATCAAGGAGAAGCTTGCATCCGTTTGCAGCATGCATGGAACAACAACTGGAAAATATATTTTCGTGGAAGTGCAAAATTTGCAAGACCGTAACCTTCAGTGGAATCAGTTTCGAGATTTTACAGTTGATAGAGAAGAAACATGGCTGGAGTTAGGAAAGGTCTGGTGGTGCTAATCAGGACTCCGTTGAAAGATTTAAATTTATTTTGGGCACTCTGTTCATGCAATTCATCATACATCAGCAAGCAATCTGTGGGAAAGACTTAAATGTTTCTTGTATACTGAAACCTGTCGTTTCTGTTCTGAACTTCATTCGGGGACATGCGCCCAATCACAGTCATTTCCAGGCTTTTCTTGAACAAATTGATTCTGATATATGTAACTTGCCTTATCACACAGCATCGAGGGGGCTCAGATGCGGTAAAATCCATTTAGGTTTTCACAAACTCCAAAATGAAATAGATGTTTTTCACTGAAAAAAGGTAGAGCTGAGGCAATGAGTTTGTTTTCCATCGGTCACAGCTTGATCCACGGTTTTCAGATCCTACCTCGCTGTCAGATCTTACCTGGCTATCAGATCCTACCTGGCTGTCAAAGTTGTCATTTTTAGTCGACATCACATCCCACATGAATGAAGTGACCTTGAAACTTCAGGAAAGGAAAACCTCATCTTTGATCTCTATCGAATCATCAAAGGATTTCGGAGAAAGCTGTTATTTGAAGCACAACTGGAAGGAAAAAACTTTACTCTTTTTTCACTGTTTTAAAGAGTTTAGCGAAGACGATGCCAACCTCGATCTTCCTTTAACAAAATCCATTTGTTTGTAAACTGGTTTATGTGCTAGTGGAAAACGTGTTGATTTTACTACTGCTAACCTGATGCTGAGTTTCCAAAACTGAAGAAATTTCCGCTGTTATGGTTTCGGTGTTTGGAACAACGTTTGTCTATGAGCAAAAATTTTCAAAAATGAAGTTTGTGAAGTTAACACATCTAACGAGAGTGACTGATGAATATTTAAAAACAATTCTATTGATTGGATGCAACAATTTCGAAATAAACAATGATGATATTTTCAAAGCCAAACGTTAGTTTCATAAATCTCACTTGCCTTTATGCTGCTAACATTGTGAGATTTGAACATTTGCGCACCAGGTGTGATTTGTTTTTTGTACATTGCACGCCACTCACCCCATGTTTAACATTGAATAATAAACTTAGTTTTTCGTATTTTTTTCCCAGAGCTTTCGTTCTGGCTTGCAAGTATTATACGGCCGCGCTCGTCATTTTGTCCGTTGTCCGGCCCTTGGTGAAAAATGTTTGGTGACGCCTGATCTAAAGGATAGAGATGTGGCACTTTTAAAAAGATAACGCATACAATTTATCATTAGTATTATTATTAATAAGGTGGTTTTATATAGCGCATTACCCAAGCTAGGCTCAATGCGCTTCAGTAAGATTTAGCAGTGACAGAAAATTATACATTTAAAAACAACAATTTGAAAAAAGCTTGACCTCACCCACCCCAGTACTATCTACCCCTGTCTAGCCACGGACAGCACACAGCAGAATCGAGCGTTGTTTATCATTTAGATGGGGTGGGAATGAGTCGGCATGGTAGAGTTTGAAGAGATGGGTATTGAGGGCAGTTATGAAGGCTGGGATAGTCGGTATAATTCTGATGTGTAATGGAAGAGAATTCCATTGTTGGGGGGCACAGAAAGAGAAAGATCATTTAGAGTATATTTTAATGCGTGTTCTGGGAACAGAAAGAATGCGCGCGTCTGCGGAGGCCCGAAGCTTTTGAAGGGGTAGAGAGACAGAAAGAAGTTCAGTAAGATAGGAAGAGGATAAGCTGTGTTTATTCATTTCTCAAGCTAACTCCCTAATTTTAAAACTAATAAAAAGGGCAATATCTACCAAATTTGTTGAACAATTTTACTTACACAACTGTTACAGTTTAACTTCCCAAATTCAATGATTTCTGTTGCACTTTATTGACCAGTCCCTACACTCAGTTTACAGTTATTGAAATTTTACCTGGAATGTGTATCAAAATGATGTTTTCGGGCTCCCTCTAGCAATACATTCTATGACATATTTTGGACTGGGCTGCAGTGAGTAAATGAAACCTGGACTAAGCCGAATATTTAAACAAGTACATATCTATGTAGATATGCATGTGTGTATGTGTGTTTATGTGTGTGTATGTTTGTGTGTGTATGAGTGCGTGGGTGGGTGTAAAATTTACAAATAAAAATCTACGTTATGTTTCAGTTTCTTAGTGTTGCCATGAAACATTCAACAAACACTTTGGTTTTAATCGTAAATAACGGCACATTTGCCAAAAATGGACATGTGGCGAGGTTTATAGTTAACTACCAGGGTCAAAACTTTCTTACGACCCAGCTTACGTTTCGTGGCCTCACTTTACTTATTAATTTGTTTGCTTTAGTTAATCAAGTGGAAGGTCAATTATACATTTTGATTCATTTTCTCTTTCTTTGGGAACCACTAAACTATTTTTAAAAATGTTAAGCGTTGATTGCATCACTTCAAGAAATTCTGACGTAAAAGCCCCGCATTCCTCTGGAAGGACCTTCCAAATTTCTAGTTCTTTTAATATTATCATTAGCTCATCATTTTGTTTATTTTTGTCTTTAATTGAACGAAGTTGTTGCAGTCTACTTCTTATATTGTCGATAGATGCTTTTATAGCCACGTATTGAGTTAACTCTTTGAATCCCCCTTTAACACTAACGAATTCTTTATCAAGTGCATTAAGCTTTGCCAATGTTGCTTCATATGAAAGTGTTTTGTTTTTTATGTCTCTCTGAATTTGCTCAATGAGCAGGCTGAGTCTCTCTTGGACCGTTGTGTGTAGAATTGGTGTGTTCAGCTTATTTATTACTTTTTCCCTCATCACCTTTGCCTCTCTAATGTGTTCACTATTATAAGGACTGTGTATTTCAGCTTTAACTATGTTTAAAAGTTCGGTTACACACAGATTTTTTTTAGCATCAAATTTTTTTCCAATATTGTAGAACAAAACACACCTGCCGTTGCATTCTTGGAGAACCTGAGCAACCTGGTTACCTTGTTCTTTGTTCTGTAGCTCTAGCCAATCTCTAAATGTCATTTTATTATTTGCGTGTTCCAGGTCAAAACTATCACCTTTAGTCATGATAACAATACCAAAGTCTTTAAGGAATGTGGATCCAAAGTATGTTTTTAAAACATTCAAACTGTCTTTTTCCTCTTTTGTGTATCTACATCCAAATTTCATGACCAAAATCAGTGCGTTGAATCCGTTGGGACACAAACTCATTGCCTCATAAATTTTGGCAAGTGTTTGGTCATTTGATTTAACAGTGTCCATAACACCGGGTGTGTCAACAACCCTGACACGTGTGCCATCTTCTCTGTCTGAACAATGCAACGTAACCATTTTTGTTTTTGAACTGGATAGGTCTGAAATTGGAAATGCAGTTCGCCCTAATATAGCATTTCCTGTAGCACTTTTACCATTTCCAGTTTTTCCAAGTAGAAGTAGACTGATCTCTTTGAACTCAGACACGGAAGATGAAGTAGCCATCACTATTGGAAAAATGTGTACCTTAATTAGATTGTATATATCATCGAAGAGTGATTTAAATTACAAATGAACTTTAATATAAAAGGTTAGTATGCCATTGTTAAGTATTATTTGTAAATGCGAAGCATATCTTATTTGAGCTTTCGTATATTTTAGTTTTATATTCCAGCAAACGGGAAAATTTAATATTAAAAATTCTGCAATTTATTTTTTTATTGGGGGGGGGGGGAGGGGGAGGTTGGTATCATTTACAGTTCAGAGGTGTGAACCAATATGATTTAAGATTTTCTTTCAAAAAATATTTTTGAACAATATTTGTGTTTCCATTTTGTGAAGAAAAAAATTGTTGAGAAGTGGGCGTAGATTGGCTTGAGGTTAATAATATTTCTAAAATAATGACAATTAAATAATATCTGTAACGAGCGTGAAAATTGTTTAAGGGATTCTTCTTAAGATAAAACCATTTCAAGTTTAACGATTTTTCGATAATATAGCACAGAAGTGAAAAACAAGTTTGGTTAAACTTTTAACGACTATAAAAATTAATCAAATTCCGTTAATGTTATGGATATTTAATATGACACGTTTGTACAATATAAAAAGAAAAATTATTTGTAGTTCATGGTCGCTAAAAGGTATAGGTTAGGCCAATATTATATAGCAGATAAATGTGTACAAAACTTAATTGTGTTAGAAAAAGAAAAATCAATACATATATTATACTTTTCAAAATAAGCAAAGTCTGAGTAACTAAATACACATTTCAAGGGCGTGAACTATTGTCGTACTTAGTTTTTTTTTTTTTTTCCTTGTTTTTTTCTTGAGAATACAAAACAATAAAACCTCGTTCAGCTATATAGGTAAAAATTTGATTCTTAGACGCTATAACTCCACAATAGCAAGATGGAAGTCACGCGAAAAGCCTAACATTATTATCCCGGTAATGTCAGGTTAAATCTTCTAGTTATTTTACTTCCTGGGGTGAGTTTTTGTGTACGCCACATTCGGCTATATATTGTGCTCTTTATCAATGAAAGTACTTTTTATATTGTTAATAATTTTAATAATAATGACTTCTAATAGTGTTAGTCAAATTTTTCCTCAAAAGTATCACAACTAGCGTGTGATATTTAGTGGAAGCATATCCTATCGATTCCCAATATGTTTGTGACCTTAAAGTTACCTTGATGGGACATGCATAATTTTATGACGTACATTTGACCGTCCAACAGTAAAACATATTGCACCGTGTAAACATTTTGAAATCTCTTCGTACATTTCATACACATCAAAGTATTTTGTAACAGTAATAAACCCTTAAAGATCCAGAATTCTTGTACAAAGACAAACCTACCTTTCAAAGGATTAAAAATGGCGTTGTCATGAAAGCATGTCGCTTTGAACATAGCTCAAAGATATCACAGGGCTAAAACTATTCTTACGTTACAGTTAATGCAGATAACAGGCCGTAGTGTAATCTGATAATGGTAAAAAAAAAAAGAAATATGTTAGACATAACGTTATCACGGGGAAGCTACGTTAACGGGGGAAAAAAAACCAAAACAACAACCGCATATCGTGTTATTATCAGGACACTCGTTTGCGTCATTTAAATGTGTTTAACATTACAATTCTTTAAACATTATCTCTCCCTGTTAAAATGTAAAAACCTGCTTACAACACTGGCTATACAAGTTGTTTATTTTTTGTGGAAAACATATTGATAATCAAAGCCTGATCGATTATGCATTTGTATAGTTTAAGAAAAATATCGACGTTATACTCACGTAGATGTAAAACTAATAATCTGGCTGGTGATACGAGTTAGGACTGAATAAAACATCGGCTTATGCCAAATATATTTTTCTCTTTCTGCAACTAGCACATCATACCCGGTGTTAGCGGGGTTGAAATGAAATACATAATGCAATAGAATCTACCTTTACTTGAAAAAATTTTCTTGTTATTTATTTCTCTTTCATTGAATTTGATCCGAGGGGCATTTCATGCGATTTGGGTGAGGGCGGGATATTGAAAATTAAGCTACTTTTTTCATGTATTAGAAATTTAAATACTACTAATACTAGAATAATTACTGTTTTGGAGATTAGGTCTTTAGATCTTACATCTCTGTTGAAATCGCGTCTTTTTTTTTTTTTTTACGGTTGGCCTATATAAATGGCATAGTTACAAAATGAAAAACAAATTAAAAATCAATTAAACAGTATCGATCGAAGAAGGCTGCTGATGGGGTGGCTCTCGTTTCCTCGTAATTATACTGAGGTGCGAGATTTTAGGCCAGCGGCAGTGTTGTTTTCCTTTTGTTTTTATAGTCGAATGGGTGGCGAAAAGCTTGGCCCACCCGGTTGGTAATAATCCTCGCTAAACACCGATAGGTACTAGTTCTTCAGCCTCGGTGAGTACGTAAGTCAAGGATGGTCCATTTAAATACTGAATAACAATACATTTTTACACTATACCGAGGGGGTGGGGGCCAACTTCAGTAGTTGCGGGGGTGATTGTTTAAGGCCTAGGAGCCATTAATGGTGAAAGTAGGGGGAGGGGGACATGATTACCCCCTATATATAAGTGATATCTACAATGAAAATTTTAAATAACACTAATTTCTTTTTTTTTTCTTATCCCATTTTACGATTATTTAATTTTTTTTAGCTGAGCGAAGCCATTCAAAAACGAGGTTTGCGCAAAAATTGAATCGTTAGTTATAGTTTGTCCTCCCCTGCTCTATGCACTAACGTTTTTAACACAAACATTTCATGGACATGTCTGTTATTCTTACTACACCGGTGTCAATTGGATCAAAAACTTGACGAACTGCTATACCGGAGAGAAACCTATTGTAAATCAGTCTTATGTTTTCATTTATTTTTATTAACCAAATACTGGCCATAGTATTTTCATGCATTTTCAACAAAATTGATGTTAATTGATAGCAAAGAGTGATTCCTACATGAGACGGTGAAGTATACTGTAAAAAGGCAGACAGCTTTTGACGGAAGTGGCCATCATTTTTATAAATTTTGATGCCATAAAGTCAACTGTTTGCCTGCCGTCACTTTTAAACATTTCTATGCATAGTTTAAGAGCGTATTAATTTATTCTTCGAAACTGATGCCGTTATGAAAGTTATGGGCGTCTTAAAAACAATGGATTATTATTTATTTATATATATATTTTTTTTTTTAATTCACGATTTTTTTCTATTTTTTTCCTTGTATAATTTTCCGCCCCTCAAAAAGTGACACTCTAGGTAGGAGCCTATGCCGTCTATGCCTAAGACTGGCCAGAACTCATAAACTCTTGTTAGTGGCCTCCTCTCTCTTTTTTAATACAAAAGTATCTTTTAAAAAAAGAGGTGTTTTTTTTTCCTTCAAGTTTTCGTGTCCCACCAACAAATGTGATGGGGTTTTTAGAGAGCCATTCGGCTCACCTTTACAAATGCTGCACAACACAAAATGAAAATTGTAAAAAAAAAAAAAGGGTTGATGTCCAGTGTTGATCTTGAAAAATTAAAATCCAAGGGAATTAACACAATACAAAAAAAGGTTTTTTTTTTTCCTTCAAGTTTTCGTGCCCCACCAAAAAATGTGATGGGGTTTTTAGAAAGACATTCGGCTCAACTTTACAAATGCTGCACAACACAAAATAAAAATTGTAAAAAAAAAAAAAGGGTTGATGTCCAGTGTTGATCTTGAAAAATTAAAATCCAAGGGAATTAACACAATACAACGTACTTGCTAGATATGGAATGTGTGCGGTCCCTTGGACTATTCAAATGAATCGTAGTAGACAGGACACTACTTTTCTGGATATTTGTTTGTTCTTATTAATATAATCCGTAGAGTTTTGCCCAACATTTCTTTAAAACAACTGTGTGGACTGTAACTGTATTATAAAGCAAACATGCTTTAAGCTAAATTGCACAGTTTATTTTTAGGATAATGTAGTGTAAATACTTGATAAAAAGATTACGAAGCATGTGCATAATAATAGTTATACGCTGGATATAAAATTTAATTGTATGGTGTAGCAAAAACAATCACAACGAAAGAGCAGACGCTAGGGGAAAAAGAGACACATATACAGAGTAGTCACTGGGGTTGGTGTCAACCGGTGCCTTAAAATAATTCTGCCCCCCCCCCGACCCCACCTTCTCCGTACCTCCATCCACCCCCCCCCCCCAAGCAAAAACAATCACAACGAAAGAGCAGACGCTAGGGGAAAAAGAGACACATATACAGAGTAGTCACTGGGGTTGGTGTCAACCGGTGCCTTAAAATAATTCTGCCCCCCCCCCGACCACATTTTGTCCGTACCTCCATCCACCCCCCTTCCCCGAAACTGCACCGAGTAATTCTTAACCAGTTCATACGTATATATTTGTAGTACTGTTTTTAAGTTAGGTTATAAAGAAAATAAGACATAAGAAGAAAGCAAAGATTTTAAGATGACAGCGTTTAAAAACTGCAGCCAAATAAGGCTACTAGACATTGAACAACTAAATTTACAGCTAAAACTTTATTTATCTGGACTTTAAGATGCACACGTCATGAGATGGGTCAAACACTTCATCGAAATCAAGTCTTCGCATTATCACTATCAGTTGACAACATGACAAGACCAGAAAGCCATAGAAGATCGCAAATAGTTATTTATAAATAAGTATCAGTTTTGAAAAGATCCCATTGAAAAGCTATGCAGTTCAAAACATCAAATATGTTGGGTTTTTTTTTTAAAGTTGGCTTCGTCGAGATTAATACTATTCTTTGGCATTTCAGTAAACAGTCCACACTCAGAAAACTCATAATACAAAGGGTAAGTAGGGAATGGATACCGTTAACTTTTCTCTGTTCACA